TGGAGTAAGTTATTCTGGCATTTTCTTCCCAGTCTGGATCACTTGCTTTGAGGGAAAAGGCTGAGGCTCCTTTTGGATTATTTTCTAGAAGGTAGGAGGTATATTTTGATTCTACAAATTGTGGAGGGTTGTCATTTGTGTCGAACACCTGGAGCGAAATAACCACAGATGTAGAGAGTGGTGGTGTCCCGCCATCCACTGCTGTAACAGTGATAGTGTAAGTTGGCAACTGTTCCCTGTCAAGGGCTCTGTCTGTCTCTAAACTGTAGAAACTATCCATTGTTTTCTTGAGCCGAAAAGGAAGGTTGCTGGGGATTGAGCATTCAACCTCTCCGTTATCTCCTGAATCTCTGTCTCGGGCATTTAAAATGGCAATGACAGTTCCAGCTGGAGAGTTCTCAGGCACAGAGTTGATCACAAAGGCTATGGCTAAATCAGGGGCATTATCATTTAAGTCTGTAACCAAAATCACAACCTTTGATCTGTCACTCAGCCCACCCCCATCCATGGCTTGCACTTCGAATTCATATGATGACGATGTTTCAAAATCAAGGCTCCCCACAAGGATAATTTCCCCTGATGTCGAATTTAACATAAATTTTTGGGAGTCTTTTTTTGTGATTTTTTGAAAAGAGTATTTTATTTCTCCATTGATTCCTTCATCCAAATCAATGGCTGTTACTGTAGCAATTGTGGACCCTTTGGGCATGTTCTCCTTGACATTTATTTCATAGACTGATTGGCTGAAAACAGGTACATTATCGTTTGCATCTAGAACAAAGATGTGAATTTGCAGTGTGCCAGACTTGATAGGTTCACCCCCATCGACAGCTGTAAGGATCAGATCATACACTGACTGTTCTTCCCTGTCCAGTGATCTTTCCAACACCAATTTAGCAGATTTGACACCATTATGGCTGCTTTGCACTTCCAGAGAAAAGTGGTTACTGGCTGTGAGTTGATAACGTTGTATAGAATTTGTCCCCAGATCTGGATCTTGAGCTTCTGGTAGAAAGAACTGGGAACCAGGAATAGATGTTTCACTGATTTTCAGTTCCCACCCTATTGACAGAAAGGAAGGAGCATTATCATTTATATCCATAATTTCTATTTCAGTGACATAAAGCTTTAACTTGCTCTCAGCAAGGATTTGAAATTTTAAGATGCATTTCTCTCCTCTTCCACAGATCTCTTCTCTATCTATTCTTTCACAGGTTTGTAAATGGCCACTGTTGGAATTAAGTTCAAAGTACTGAATTGTACCTGAATTAGGAATAATCCGTAGTCCATGGTCAAAAGGCTGCTTCCCATCTATTCCCAGGTCCTTCACAACATTTCCAACAAAAGAACCTTTGTGTACCTCCTCTGGAATGGAATAATGGAGCTGACCAGAAATAATCTTCCAAGAATTCATCATTATAAGGCATTGTAGGATTCCTTCTTTGTAGCTCCAAATATCTTTTCTTTTTTCCATTTCCTTCCAGCAAGCAAGAATCGCCAGTTTTTGTTCAAAAGAGCTTGTCTCTTTCTTATGATCTATCTGTTCTGTAGGCTTGGGTATTTGAGCAGCATAGATATGAAGGCTGATCTCTCTGAGCACTTCTCTGCCAGGCTGGTAAACAGCGACACCCAGGGTCACAACCAAAAAACTACAGGCGCATCTTGTAGTTGTAATGTTTCCTTGCTTATGTTAATATTATTTTACCTGTAGTCACAAACCAGGCAATTTGTTTCAGTGAAAATGATGCTTCCCATCCTCCCAAGATGTAAAGTAGAACAACATTAATAAAATAGAACTTGGCTACTGTTTGGTGAGACACAAAAGCAGAAATCTCCTTAATGTTAAAAGTTAACAAATCTGTGTATGCATTCTTACTCTGTGTCACAAATAATTGTAACTAGTCACAATTAGTTATTTACAAGTAATTAAGCTTTTCACTGAAAGCCACATCAAGTCAAAAATGAGAAATCTTCAGCCAAAGACTTTACACATATATTTGAATTAATATTTTGTAAATGAGCCCCTACTCCCACCTCCCCATTATCAGTAAATAGGAAAGTCACAGAATGTGCTGATCTTGGTCATATCATGGATAAATCTCTCTTAGGTTTGTCCATTTGGGGTCTCTGAAATCAATAGGCAAGACAAAGCAGGGTGAGGAAGATGAAATGGCAGTGCTCTGGCATATATGCTAACTGAAGCACTATCATATCCAACAGAGGTGAAGAGGTATTGAATATTTTATTTTATAAAGATTAACTTCTGCCCCTTTAGAGATGCATCAGAAAAAAGATAAATTGCTAGAAATTATTGGTCTTTTGATTTGGCAGGATAGAAATAAATAAATAAACTCCTACAAGTTACTAGGATCATTTTTCTTATAACAATTCTGATGGTGCTATTTCCATAAAACAATGGAGAAAAATTACTTGCCTTTATTCTAGGGCATTACTAAGCATTTGTATATTTTACTGATTTTTTTCAGACTGAGCAATATGCAGCTCTTTACAAAATGAACCCTGACATAATCTGATTTATCAGAGAAGCATGATTTTTCTTTCATAAAATTATTTTTTTTTAAATTCTCTTCCTGAATTTCCAAGTCCCTCAATATTATAATTTGCCTAGTTCTGTTATTTCCCATAAATCATGATACAAAATTAACTTACCCTAAAACCCTTGATTTTCCTTCCTAATTCTCTAGCATGCCTGCAAATTCCATTCCATTCCACTGAAGTAGCAAAAGATACATTCCATTTATGTGTTTCATATGCTAATTGGCTGAAGACCAGGTAGAGATGGGGAACAACCCTCCTGCTAATTTGCCTTTCGGTTATTCCATTGAGCCCTTTTCTATTATTTACTGGATGTGTAGCGATTAGCTCATCACTGTTTTAACATCTGTTTATCTTGCTGTTCTATCATTTGTCTTTTGTTTTTGCAGAAGTGTTAAGATAACATGGGAATAGGAAACCAAAGCTGTAAACCCAAACACAGTTTGCTCAAAACAGTATCTATGACTCATGAGCTTGTATCCCACAAAGAAATGACAAGTGAGTAGAAAGCCCTATAGTCTAATAAGTGTGCTGAAGTAGGATGGGAAAATGAAGATCTTTTTACAGATGATAAGGGGTGAACATAAATCAGACCCTTTACCAAGATGGAAACAACAAGCAAACGAATACCTTTTTTCTTCCCCTGAGAGTGACTTGTAGGTTTATTTAAAGTAGTACTTACTTTTTACTTAAAGTACAACTGTTTATGACCAATTTATGGCTGCAATTAATAAGATAAGCAAAGTCTCTTTTGAACTGAACTCAACTCCTGGTAACTCCATGGATGTACCCAGTTTTCTCAGCAACAGAATGGAAGTAGTTTGCTATAGTTTTCTTCTGGGATGTTTCTCAACTCCCACAATAGCCTATGGCCTGGTATTCCCCAAGAGTCTCTCATTCAAATATTAATCAGGTTTTGCATAAGGCAAAGGAAGTTCCATTAAGTATTGTTGGTAGTAGAAAACATAAGGATATTCAAAAAGTAAAAGTGAAAGAGAAGGGGAAGGGGAAGGAAGAAAGGGAAGAAGAATGTAGAGAAAGCAGTCAGTTTCCCCGCTGAGGACGATACCATCCTTGGAGACATGTACTCCCTTCACTCCAGTCATGCAATGTTACAAATAGTAGTAAACCATGTTAATTGGTATATGGCACAATCAGTAGGCATAATGCATCCTTAAGCCAGTGTTATGTCACTCAATTTACCCAAATGGCCCAGAAGAAATTATTTGAGTATCTAGTTGAAATACTTGCAGGAAAATTACACTTATGTTCAAACAGTTCACAATTCTATTAATGATTATAGGAATGAAAAAGTTGCTAAATCACCCCCTCAGTTTTTAGAGATCGGTTCTCTACTCCTTTAGACTGAATATGAGATTGACAAAAGGTCTCCAGCCAGGTGTGAAGAATGTCAAGAGGGAAGCAGTCTATAATACCCAAAGTTGGATAGACTGTATGTAAATCTCCTCAGCATTTCCAAAGTCAATATACGAGCTCAAAAACACACAAAATAATTTAAATAAATGTTGGTATTCTTTGTCCTCCTTAAAATGCTCTAGCTTCTCTGCAAATTTCATTCCTTTCTACTGAAAAAAAGTTATAATATTTGTATTTTCCCTAATTAGTCAACAGAAAAATGAAATCCCAATTTAGCAACTTTCTTTTGATCGCGACAGTAAATCAGATTGGGCTGTGCTTGGAATTATCCAGAATTGGTCAAGCTATTGCTAGAGATACAGTCTGGGTTCCTGAAGCAAACTGGGTAGTCTCTGCATAAATTTATTTTCTAGCTCTATTATACAGCCCTGCAGATTAACTGCTTAGAGTGACCTGACATCTAAGTGTGCGCAATAATCTTTTCCTAGCACCACCTCAGAAAGGTAGTAAAGAGGACCTGATCAAGGCTAACAACACCAAAACACTGCAAAATATTCATTAATTAATGTAAATTACTCCTAAAGTCACCTCCAAGTAGTAGTAAGAAAAGCTGCTTCTTGTTTTCACTGCCATTTGCCTACTGCACTGACGGATGTTGCATCAGGAGAAACTGCGCCACCTATAAATGAGTAGGAATCTTAATTAACTCAGAACTTCAACTGAGAGGGCATTTTGTCTTACTATTTTTTATACTTTTTACTATATTTTGTTTTGTTTTTTGTTTGCTGCTGTACTTGGAGAAAAATGTAACTTTTAAAAATATATTGTTTTATTGTATTATAAAACACAAGTAGTACATTATATTATTTGGGTACAAGATTGACTAGTAATTATTAACACTCAGATATTTAGATATTTTAAACCTTTAAAGATAAAGAAAACATAAAGTTTATGTCAATATTAACTCTGATTTCTAAAATGTTAATGTTATGATAAGCATAAAGTTTCTTAAATTTTACATCTAGAACTGAATGTGGCATTGATAAACAACTGCAAACTACATTAAATTGTTTGTTATTTAATAAAGGTTTCTATCCTAAGCTTAATACTTAATACTAAGTTCTCCACTATATTGTTACTTATTGTTGTTTATGCATATTTAAAAAAACAAAAAACAAAAACAAAAATAACAATAACAAGAGTTTTAAAAAAACTATTTGATTTCTAACTTCCCCCTTCTTGTGCCTCTACCAATTTGCAGTATTTATAAGCACTTAGGCCCCCTTAGAAAACATACTGTAAGTGTTTATATTTGCCATATTGAGATATATACTGTACATGTGGGAATTATTCTTGCTTGAATTTGGTGACACTTTTGTTGTGAATATACACTGTTAATGTTGCCATTGTTGTATATTCTCCAAGTTTAAGTTCCCACTCAGATATTGTCGGAATTGTATCTTTTTTCCGATGTTGGGCAAATTTATTCTCACTGTTGTGAGCATGTATCTCAGTAAATTATGATATTTCTTGTTGATATATTCTGGGATTATACCTAATAAAAAAAGTTGTGATTTCATTTTGAATTTCCAAAATTTTCTGCATTGTACTATGTTTATCTTTCTAGTACTTTTGAGTTTTTTTACATGTCCACCACATGTGGTAAAATGTTCCTTCTGTTTCATAGCATTTCCAATAATTATTTCTGTATGATTTATCTATCTTGGAGATTACTGATGGAGTTGTGTACCATCTGTAAAACAATTTGTACCAATTTTCATTTAGATTGTAGCTTGGAGTAAATTTTATGGACTTGGTCCATAATTCTTCCCATTGTTGTTTTGTGATTGTTTCTTTAAAAAATTGCATCCATATTATCATACAGTTTTTAATTTGATCTGACTCTGTGTTGTATCTAAGTAGAAGCTGTATATGCACCCTGACAGATGGTATTGGTTTTGTATAAACATTTCAAATTGTGTCATTTTTCTTAATGTCCCTCCTTCATTCTTAAGGTCGATTTTACCCTTCCAGCAATTTGTAAATACATTAACCATGGTATATTTGGCTTTCACTGAATAATTCTTGCTGTATCTTTAATCTGCTCATTGAGTCTGAGTGGACCATGTCTGCATATGTGATTACATTTTTCTTACTGTAATTGTCTCCAACACAGAAGAAGGAGAGGCTAATGGTGAAATTGTTGGAAATTGTTATTTTCCTTATCGAATTCCATGCTTTTATCAAACTTTGTCTGATAATACATCTTTTTAAATTTTTATCTTCCACTGTGCTTCTGTACTATAAATTTCGAAGATGATAATGTCAGAAGCTAAGTCTTGTGATAGCTCCTCTGGAAAAAAAAATCAGCTTTATTTTTCTGGCCAATTTCATGTCAAAACAAGTGATTAAAGGCTATTTCAGTAAGAAAAAAGCTAAGGGAATCAATCTAACCTGACCTTAGAAGATAACATCATCACTGCAATAAATATTAAGGTACTCTTGGAAAATGCTGATTAAAGATTAAAAAGCTTCTGAGAACGAATAATGGCTGTAGGACTGTAAATTTCTCAGCCAGTTAGCCTGTTTCTCCTCTGGATGTACATGCTAAAACAAGTTAAGACACAGAACTATTACAATTTATTATATATAATGGATCTCCCCCATAGTAGCTATGTACAACATGGTTTGCAACCTTTAATACAGGAAATAGGGATACATAATTCACAACAGAAACAACTAAAAATTACTATCCCAAGAGACTGCGGATAGTCAAACTTTGATAAAAGATTCAGAGGGTAATTTACATCTTCTGACTGGTCCTTAGGCTCTATTCCCATATTTTAGCAAAAAATAAATGAAACTGATGGGAATCATGCTGAAGAGTTTGCTCTTGTTGATAACCAAAAGCCTGCAAACTCAACTATAGATTAATCCTTAGAAATGATCTATCTATGCTTTAGATAGAGAACAAATAAAACCCAAGAACAAATAAAGGGAATTTTTCTTTTAATGATACACCCTCGCCAACTAGATTTAGTACTATGACTTTGCAGCAGACAGCGTCCCACTCAATTTTGGATATTTTAGAGCAACAGTAGCACTCTGTTAATAAGTTAGATATGAAATGGGATGCAGAACTTCTCTTAATCAATTGTACAAAGTGCAAAGATCTTTTATTTACTCTTACTAAATTGGTCCAATCAACCCAGAGTTTTTACTAGAGGCACAAATGATCAGGCTCAAATTATGCAACTTCGGACATATTATGCAAAGACCTAGCTCTCCAGAAAGGCTCTAATGCTGGGAAAGGAAGAAGGAAAGAGGACAACCAGCAGCAAGGTGAACGGACTCGGTTATAGTGGTGATGGATGCACCATTAGAAGACCTGAAAGACCAAGTTAAGGACAGATTGTCATGGAGGAAATCTATCCAGGTGATTGGCAAGAGTTAATACTGACTTGATGGCACAATCATTCAACCAATTGGCCCCCAAAATGGTGAAAGTTAGGACATATGACACAGCAAATGGGTGAGAGAACAGAAATAATGTTTTACAATGCTCTTAACAACCTAAAAAAAGGCAAAGAAAAAGATACAAAAGAAAAAGGTCTCTCCTCTTCCACCAAGTTACCTCAGCACTGGAAGCAAAAAGGTGATGTTTCAGCCAACTGAAGTTTATCAAGCCCCTGAGAAGGGTTAATGTTATTGGTAATTATATATCTGTTCAATAAGCAACATTACCTGGACAAGAATAATATTTTTAAAACATTTTCTTAAATGTTCAAAATAATAACTATTCTTTACTGCTAATAAAACCTATATTTGCCTTCTGATGACTCATAAGGAAAGGAAGATAAAGGAGAATGGGATTTTTTACCTTTATATGCCTGCCTGATATAAACTGTTAACCTATTGGACAATTTGACTGCAGGTCTTTTGAGAAAACTATTTTGGTTCCAGTAGAAGAGAAAACTATTCTGATTTCAAGTATTTGATTTCCATCACTCACAGAATGCTGATAAATACATTAATTACATTTTATTTCATTGCTTAAAAAAAAAAACAGACAAAACAAAATTGGGATTAATACTCTTTTTGGAGGTTTTCCTTCTAACAGGGAGTTATCATCCCAGATAAAATAAGGCTTTTACTAAAATCAGTTCAGAAATAGATATCCATGACAATATTCTCATTTGAGTGCTTCTATTTTTAGAAGAGGTAGCATGTAAAGACAAATACATTCATTACAAATATTTCAGCTAACACAAATATTATTAATACAAATATTAGCTACAGATATTTTCTGATTCTCACTACTTATAATACATTATATATAAATGTTTCATCAATTATACCTATAATACCCAACGTAATATCAACTGAATAAACTGAAGCAAAACAGACATCTAAGTCTGAAATGAAGCCATCATTTAACAAATATTTTTTGCTTGAATTATATTTACAACAGCATCAACAACATTCAAACAAATATTACAGCATGATCTTAGGAAATAAAGAAAATGAACAAGACTCACCATGCCCTTTCCAGAATCAAAAACGTTACCTTCACTGACTATAACAGAAGTATCAGGTTTACTGTTGCAAAGGAGATTTTCCACTATTTGGGCATTGGGTTGCAGAAAAGTCAGCTCATTTCTCCTGGACTCAGTGGATAAACAGATCTGATAAGAATAAGGCAAAGTCCCATCTTCATAATTTGGAGGAAAT